TGCGCTCACAGGTCCGACGGGGGGGACAGCGCACATCACAGCGACCAGGCAGCGCCCTGGGGGGCAGCGCGGCGTGTGGGCAGGGACGGGCGCCGGACATCTGCCGGGTGGGGGGCGTGTCGCCCTGGCCCCAGCACTAACCACACACACACACACACAGCAGGCGGCAGACCCGCCAACTATGCAGCACAGTGCACACATGCACACACACCACACACACACGCACACACACACCACACACACAGCGCAGACCAGGCACACGTGCGCTACACCACACGCACGCATACGGCATTTACGCACACTCCGCATCGCGCACACGCACACGCGACCAGTAACGCGCCCCGCTGCGCACACACAGCACGAAAACACACACACACCACTAAACACACAGCACGCGCACACACACGACCACACACAAACACGTGCGACACACACACCACACCAGGCCAACACACCACACACACAACCGCGCGCACATGCACCACGATTGCCAACGGGGCGATTGCGCGCACACGCGCACCACACGCGCACGCGCCACGCGCACGCACGACGCACTCGCACACACGCACGGCCACGCACGCACGCACGCACGCACGGCCACGCACACACACACAAACAGCAGCACACACAAGCAGACACACAGATCACACATACAGCACTACATTCATTCACTTTCCGCATCTCCCAGCCTCTCTCAGTCATGCGCGGTCAACGTTCTTTATAAGTAGGGGGCCCAATTGAGTGAGCGAAGCGATCGAGCCGGGGGATGTGCGCGATAGGGCGCGGAGCGCCCAAATGAGGGTGTGAAGCGACCGAGCGGGGGGAGGGTGTGGGAGGGAGTTTTTGCAATTTTTCCACTAAAACGGAGAAAATTTCAAATTTTCAAAATGGAAGAAAAACGGAAATAACACCTTTTCAGTACATGTCTATGTACAGTGTCAACTATAGTGAAGTAATATATTTGCATCAATATGAATATATGTAATAGAAATAAAGAAGATATGAAATAGTGAATCTTTTTCAGGGCGTACAGAAATTTTCATTTTCTTCACCTGGTAATAGTCAAAAAAATAACATTGTTTGAATGATATAAACACTTTTATAACATCACTCGACTATCTTTTATCTTTAGTTTATCTTCCATGTTGTTGTGACAACCGTTTTGCCTTTAAAACCCCAAGCTGCTTGAGTAATTACATAAAGAATACATAAAACTATTTATTATAATTAAACGGAACTATATAATAATAATATACAACAAAAACTAACACAGACCTTGAGCTAGCAGTTAACTAAGAATAAACAAGTTCGCTTACAGAAACAAGACTATCATAAATAAATATCCACCATCTACTTAGATATAAAGTCCGAGAAAGCAGAGGTAACCCATGAAAATATAAAATTATTTATAATTTTAAGTTTTAATTTTCTCGGGTACTAATGATGTCCTACCTATGAGTGATGTTACAGCATGCATTACTGAAACCTTGAATATATATATTCACTTCCAAACTCCAACTAGAAAACATATGTCCTACAGCATGAACCCTGTAATACAAACTAACATTATTTGTATTACAGATTGGTGTTTCTGTACAAATTTGAAATGTAGAGCCTGGATATGGCATTTCCAGCATTTTCAGGCTATGTTGAAAGCAACCAATTCTGCATCTTTTAAAAGGTCAATTTGTCAATTTCAAAGAGGAATGAGCAAGCTGATGTTTTGACTAAAGTATCTAAAATATATATTATTAGTATGATAACTAATAAAACATTATTACAAAATTGTATATACTATCACACCACGCCACGCACGCACGCAACGCACACCACACACACACACACACACGCACACACAACACAACACACACTCACACACACACACTCACACCACCACTCACACCCACAACACACACACACACACACCCACACGCGCCACACCACAACACACACACAACACACGACACCACACACACACACACACACAAACAGACACACAGTAACACAGGTTAAGCCTAACTGGAAAATTATGGACGGATTGTCATAACATTTTTTAGGATACTCAGAAATGGGCTAACTTAGAATTGATGAATTTTGGTGGGATCCGGATCCAATTCATTCATTCATTCATCCATTCATTAATAAAATTTTCAGAATAGATCAGAAATAGGTAACTTAGAATTGATTACATTTTTGGCGTGATCGCGATCCAATTAATTAAAAAAATTCCAGATAGTCAGAAATGGGGTAACTTAGAATTGAATTACATTTGATGGTGAACCAAGATCCAAATAATTATTAATTAATAACTAAATTATTCTTTTTTTTTACTTAATTATAATTAATTAAAATAAAAAATTTGCACATTGAGAGAATTCAGCTGCCTTGGCGGAGGTCTGTGCTCTCCGAGTGGCTCTAGTTTATTATATGTTCCTCTGTCTAAAAGCCCTAACAGTAACAAACTCTCCTTTGTCAGTTTTTTTCTAAGTTTCACTCCTCCACTACACTGTGCACGTGCACATTAACTCCGACCAACTGACCTGAGCACTAGCGCGAACGCGCTGCCGGCTGGGGGTCCAGGGGCGACGCCCCGGCGGGGGTCCAGGGGTGGAGCCCCTGGAGCTCCGGGTCTTAAAACTGATAGTACAGTTTGACGGGCTTGTTTTAGTCGTTATTGACACAGTTGAGTCATTATTTGCGCGAAATGACGGAAATATCACAGAATATAAATCAAATAATCATCATCATCTTCGTCATCACTATCATCACGTCATCATCATCGCATTGCACGGCATACATCAATCAATGCCCCCTGTTTGAATCGTTGCGCCCCGTTTAAATTACCTCCACCCCGTTTAAATTCCACCACAATAAAAGTTTGCCAGCGCGGGAATCGATCGTCAAGAATTGCCGTTCGACCAGGACATCCGACGCGTGTATTTTTACCGTACGACTAATTAATGCGTAAAATCGCCACCACACCATAGACGGTATTTGGGGTTCTTGTATATATAAGATAGCCGAGTCGGTGTACAGTTAGTGACAGGTTAACTGTGCATTGTCAGGTTAACTTGTGTACTGTCTGCAGTGCATGCGTGGTACGCGTCGGATGTCCTGGTCGAACGGCAATTCTTGACGATCGATTCCCGCGCTGGCAAACTTTTATTGTGGTGGAATTTAAACGGGGCGGAGGTAATTTAAACGGGGCGCAACGATTCAAACAGGGGGGAGTTTTCCCAAACGGGGCGCGAGCGCCCCGTTTGCGCAACGTAGGGAGAACCCTGTACTACTACTAGTAGTACCCTGGTAGTACTAGTAGTAGGCGCAAATCCACGTTAGGCACCTTAAGTGTCACGAAGTGATGCACAGATTTCTGTGTATCATCAACTGATGCACAAACTTTCCGTATATCAAGGAATGATGCAAAAACCCTAACCCTAACCCTAACCCTAAGTCATAAAGTATACGGTAACCTTACTCCTTATGTATCACGAAGTGTTTTACTGTTAGGGTTAGGGTTGGGGTTAGGGTTAGGGTTTTTGCATCATTCCTTGATATACGGAAATTCTGTGCATCAGTTGATGATACACAGAAATCTGTGCATCAGTTGATGATACACAGAAATCTGTGCATCACTTCGTGATACCTAAGGTGCCTAAACTAAAGTAGATTTTCACCCTAGTAGTATTACTATTAGTAGCTCTAGTAGGCCCTAACTATAGCTCGCGTACGGTTGCCGCTGGCCGGCTAGCCTATACTATAGTACCAGAGCTAGCACTGACATAGCTCTAGTAATAGTAGTATTACTATTAGTAGCTCTACTAGTAATTATAGCCCGCGTACGGTTGCCGCTGGGCAACCGTACGGGTAACGCGGGCTATAGTTACTAGAGCTAGCACTGACATAGACCGAATAATTCTGTCCCATATAACCTTTTTTATATTTTGGTGAGGGTTATATTGGGACAGAACGGGGTTCATTGAAATTTCGTGAGATCGCATGCAAAATGCATGCGCTGCTAATGCGGCCCGTACGCCGCTATTGGCGCGAAAAAAACCCTACCGTTCCTTTCTACATGGCTTTACCTTGCTACTGATATGTGTATACATTCATTTCAATCGTTATTTACTTCTTAAAAGATTGTTTTTTCAGAAACCCCCGCTTCATTAACTTTAGTAAATTACGTTGGCTATTTACAAACAATCAGACCAATCACAGCGAGTCTATCAGGCCTCCTGCAGCGCCACAGATACAAGCGAGAACCAGGGGCTATTGTAAGACTCGCTGTTTTTGGTCTGATTGTTTGTAAATGGCCAACGTAATTTACTAAAGTTAATGAAGCGGGGTTTCTGAAAAACAATCTTTTAAGAAGTAAATAACGATTGAAGTGAATGTATACGCATATCAGTAGCAAGGTAAAGCCATGTAGAAGGGAAACGGCGTACGGGCCGCATTAGCAGCGGATGCATTTTGCATGCGATCTCACGAAATTTCAATGAACCTCGTTCTGTCCCAATATAACCCTCACCAAAATATAAAAAAGGTTATATGGGACAGAATTATTCGGTCTAGCACTGACATAGCTCCAAGAAACGGTATTGCTAGGGTTAGAATAACAATGCGGTTAGTTTAAGGTCGTTAATTTATAGTTAGATTATGTTCTACTGATCTATTACCCTAACTGCCCCTAATGTATAAGAATACAATGTTTATCTCGTGTGGTCTAGTGACGTTTGTGCATATAAGTTTATAACATTTTAGTGCATTTGAAGAATGTAGGTGTGTCGCAACCAACTTTGCAAACTGATATTAGCTCTAGTACTATAGCCCGCGTACTGTTGCCACAGGCCTGCGGCAACTGTACGCGGGCTATAGTACTAGAGCTAAACTGATATTAGATTTAGATGCAGAACACATGGTGCTTTATATATATATATGCATATGAATGCCCGGTGCACTTATGAAAAATAAAAATGCGTGATCGTCTGCGTCATCTTCTATTTGTTTAGCGTGCCGATGGATGCCGCCTCCATCTCTCAGTGCGGTTTTGAGCGAGACTTGTTTGAATCTTCCTCGCCTCGCGACGACGACGACGATGACGGAAATTTCCTCGCGGCGACGAAAAGCCGATGTCTCGGCGACGCGGACTGTCTACCATCGGCGGAAGATGCAGCGCCGCCACGGCATCGCTCCCCTATCAGCATGGACAGGGACGCGTTGTCTTTGGAGCAGGATGGAGAAGTCAGTGACACAGACAGCGACAGTGACAGTTTCCCGGTGTTTGACATGCTGCTAGGGACAAGTCCCGGTATGTTGTCATAGCGTTGGTGACACGCCTGCCGTTCAGCACTGTCGTATATTATTATAATTAATATTATTAATTTTTATTAATTATCATTATTATCATGTTGCACAATGTTTTATTTATACATGTATATATTATAGTTATTATTATTAACATTAAATTATTATTTCTGTTATTTCTGTTGTTGCTATGTCCTTTAATCATATCAGTCTTAATCAGAATTATCTATAATAAGAGATAATTATATATAATCATATTATATAGAAAGAGAATATATATAATATATATATATAATAATTATATATAAAGAGCAGGGTGCGAAATTAACCGGAGTCCGGAGTCAAATACTCCCAGATTTACTGTCGGACTCCCTGATTTGACGTATGCAGGAGTCCGTGTGGCTCCTTGAAAATGCTGCCATACTACCTATAGTTCGTTCCAGAGCACGGCCTCGTGGAAATACTGTATTTTTTCAGCTAATATCCAAAGAAAATTTGACAGACATGCAACCGCATGATAAGCACATGAGTTATTGTTAATATCTTTAATTTTGAACCTCAGACTGCGGGTTCCCTCATTTTGCTGCGGACTCCCTCTTTTTGAGGGTAGGGAGTCCGTTGGACTCCCGTGTTCAAAAGTTAATTTCTACCCCTGAAGAGTATGTCTCTGTTTGTGTTTCAGCTGCTGCCAGGTCACAGTATAGTGAGAGCGACATTGTCTGGGCAAAATACCGTGACCATCCTCTATGGCCAGCAGTGGTAATAAGTAAACACTAACATTTGTGAAACACTGTGCACACACTAATTTGTTGTGTGTGAAAATTGTCTCGAAAATTGTATATAACTAAAGAACTAAAGAACTGTAAATAAGCGATTACGATAATAAAACACAATATAAAACTACAAATGTATAGAACTATAACATATAAGGTCATGTGTATTTGAATCAATCTACCTTTCAGTAGTACACAACATTATGGCCACTCTAGGCAATGTACATTTGCCCATACATAATTTGTGAATTATGACCATTTACTCATGATAAGGATTGATAATCTTCTCTTGTGTAATTTTTTAAAGGAATGAATTTATGAGTGTTTCTACCCTAAACTCCCTTTTCTGTGTCATCATTGATATTCATGTAATGTTAAATTTTGTTCGTTTTTAGGTTCGCAAATGCTATCATAAGAAGGTGTCGATTCTTTTTATTACTACCCCGCAGTCAGAAAGCAGGCGAGGGTAAGGCACATGCGGATATCTATAATCCTCTGATTTCATTTGGCTCGGCTCAAATACTCAACAGTGGTCTGGTCTAGTGTGAAAGCTTTTGTCTCTACCTTGAGTTTGATTAAATACATATAAGACAATGGGTGATTATGTACCAGAGTTACCATTTTCAGTATAGAAAGGAAAATGAGACCGTTCACAGGTAGCATTATTAACCTTTGTGCGTTACTCCAAGTTTAGGGGTACTGTACACAAAAAGATTATCAGGAAGTATCAGCATGCTTGTTTTGTTGTGTCGATAAGGATTAGAAAATAAGGCTTCATTTCATCTAATTGTAGGATGATGGATAACATCTCGAATTTTATTTGCCTTCTAGAATGAAAATGTCGTTGAAAAATCTGTGGCCATTTGGATGTGAGAGACACGGCGAATTCAAGGTAAGCCACACCGCACATAGTGGGCACGATTCTCTCATCACGACCATCAAACATCAGATTCATAGATGCAAGATTTGCAATTTATTCCCCTGGTGGAGCAGGGCGTATACATATACATTTCGAGAAATATATTCCACATGAATTTAAAATTTTTTATTTTAAGTTCTATTTATTTATTTATTTTTTGCTAAAGGTTATGTGCCAGAGGGGTTAGAGGTTAATTTTTTATTGGGTAGCTAAGGTGTTTACATTCTTGCCAGTCGTACTTTGTGTCTTAGAGCATAGAGGCGGATTACTGCGTAGCTAGGATCTTCTCTGCTAACATATGTGGTGTCCCCGTTGGTTTTGACAGTACGCAGGTGAGCATTCACACATGTCTGAGTCGTTCACCGTAGCCTACAACTACGCAAGTGACTATCTACAGAAGAAGAGCCTTGGAAAGACCAACCTCTCACTATTAGATTTCATCAAGTCTAGTATGTTGCATCACAACTTTTCTTTTTAAGTGATAGTCAACGTTTTACTGGATTAGGTGTGTGTGTGGTTATCAATCACTAGTGTAGGTTGAACTGCAGAATTTGGAACATTGCATGGTTGAAACGGCAGTCAGTTGTAACTTGTAAGTTATTACCTCTGCCAGGGGCGTGGCGGAGGTTATGTTTTCACCGGCGTGCCATTGAGTGTTGGTTTGTGTGTGTGTGTGTTACCATGCACGTTTCAGTTCACTTCCGCTAGGTGCGCTGGCTGTAGACTTACAAACACGCAACCACAGGCTAAGGGCCAACCACAGTCCTTCCCCCACCTGCATGCTTGCACTAATCCGGATCCAATTAATTATTTATTTAATTAATTAATTAATTAATTTTTCCACTTAATTAATTAATTAATTAATAAAAAAATTAACATTGAGAGAATTCAGCTGCCTTGGCGGAGGTCTGTGCTCTCCGAGTGCTCTAGTTCTTAATTGCTCTGTAGAGATATATCTGTTCGAGAGATTTACAAATATGTTTAAATCAACCGTTTGTTACAATAAATTCCTTCAGTTTTCCTTAGTTTCAATGTATTTTATGTAGTGTAGCATGCAGGTAAACATATTTTAAGTTGACTTGCACAGTATAAAACCATTAAATTATGAATTATAAAATTGAACCTGGAAATCACAACTGTTGTAACTCACGTGCATACCAAAGGTGATGCCTTGATTATTCAGATTTTCTATTTTTCCTTGTATAGCAGGTTTACTTGGCAACAGTGCACATTGCAATGTCGTTCTATCTCACATTAAGTATGTAGCAACGTTTGTCAATGCTAAGAACAGTTTGATAATACTGATCTATAATTCTTAATAAGTTCAACTCACTTAGTTGTTCTGAAGTCTTGTGATGTCGTGTGAGCCACGGATTTCTAATAAATGCCCAACAACTCTAGCTGTACAACGACAAAAACAAATCTATAGGAATGAAACTTTATTAATGACTTTGTTACTGTATTTCTTTATCACCACAGATGAATGCTTCACGCGTTCCTCAAATCCTGCAGCAGCAACCACTGATACTATCACGCTGTCTGACAATTCTCCGGCACCATCTGGTAGCGGCAATTTTCGGTCACGCTCCCCGAGTCCAGCTGGGTGTGGTGGCATCACTGAGAAGCAGTGCGACGAGCGAGTACGGCAGCCATTGTTGACGTGGCAAGACGACCATGAGGGTGATAGTCCGCAGTTAACGGCCGCGACAATGCGAAGGTTCGTGAATAATACGTGGATATATATTAATTTGCATGTAATTTGATGATTGTAATATATTTTGATTAATAATAATTAAATAGACATTTATTATTGTATCCCCCGCGACGAAGTCGGCGGGGATACTATGGTTTCATGTCTCCCCAGCCGCCGCCGCTCGGTCCGCCGCAGAGAATTTCCCTTCCGCTTCCAGCTCTAAATAACTCGCGACCCCTAATTGACCTAGCGTGACCAAACTTGGTATACTTACACATCTTGGGAGAAGTGTGCAGAGTCCAAAACCAGGTCACTGTGACCCTTATTTGACCTTTACCTTGACCTTGATGCATATTTCTCTTCTGCTCTCTAACTCGGCCCCTAATTGACCTAGCGCTACCAAACTTGGTATACTTACACATCTTGGGGAGAAGGTGAGCGAGATATCAAAACCAGGTCACTACGACCTTTATTCTGACCTTTACCTTGACGCTTGATCATATTTTCCTTCTGCTCTCATAACTCCGGCCCCTAATTGACCTAGCGCTACCAAACTTGTGATAACTTACACATCTTGGGGACCAATGTGTGTCGGCGTACCAAAACAAGGTTACTGCGGCTTTTATTTGACCTTGACCTTGACCTTGATCATATTTCTCTTCCACTTTTGTAACTCGGCCCTCAAATTGACCTATAGCGGCGACCAAACTTGGTATACTTACACATCTTGGGGAAGAGGTGTGTCACGTAGCCGAAGCCAGGTCACTGCAACTTTACTTTGAGCCTTGACCTTGACCTTCATCATATTTCCCTTGCCGCTCTAATACTCGGCCCCTAATTGACCTAGCGCGATCAAACTTCGTAGCACTTACACATCTTGGGGAGAACAGCGGCGGAATACATGTAGTTGGCGACAACTGCCCTTTCTAGCTATGAAATATATTTATAATAATAATGTGATTATATAATGATAATTAACAAGAGCTAATAAATTACCTAGAGTGTGCAACAGGAAAACGGGAGAAATAGTGCTGTTTCACGGCAATATTATTCCTAGCTTTGTATGCGGTTCTAGACTCAGTTCATGGTATTGCGTTAAGCAGCATTCTTTGCTTTCTAAAAATAAGACAACCGCTTGTCTGCTACGATACTCCTAGGCGAGATATTGGAGGCATAATCATGCCTCTCACAGGCTCACCGCCGCATCGCATCCACAATATTCACTATCCTTCTCGCCCTTTTGGCGGGTCTGGCTATCGTTTTCCGTCGCCGCCGTTTGGAGCGCTGATAATTGATGTCACATGCCCCAAATTTGGTACTCTTACTCACCATAATAGTAACTGAGCTGCGTTTGTAGAGACTTAATTTAGAAACCATTTGCCGGCTCTATCATTGAAGGGCGATTAGTCGTCGCTAGGAAAGATAAATGGGAGATAAGGGCATAGGCAATGCCCCCGAAAGTCACGATGATAACCGAAACGCCGTTCATCTCATAAAGTTATCGCGGTAAAAACCGAACTCTCACAAAGCAACTTTCCTAACCCCGCAAAAAGCGAGAAGGATAGTGAATATTGTGGATGCGAGGCGCTGTGAGGCCTGTGGAGCGGGAAGTTTTACGAGCCAATATCTCAGCTAGGAGTATCGTATTGACAGCGGTTGGTCTTGTTTTATGCCCGGCGCACACGTGAGTTTTTTTACCTCAAGTAAAATGACGCATGAGTCAAATTACTCAAGGAAAATCCGCCGCACACGTGAGTAAAATGACGCATGCGTCAAATTACTCAACGAAATCCGCCGCACAATGTGACGTAAAATTGACTCATCGCGTCATTTTACTTTGAGTAAAATAATCACGTGTGTGCGGGCTTTTGTAGAGCAAAGAATTCTGCTTAATGCAATACCATAATAATTATTCTAGACTCGCAGGCAAAGTTAGAATAATATTGTCGTGAAATAGCACTATTTTCCCGTTTTCCTTTTGTACACCAGGGCTCGAATTAACCGACGGCACCCGAACGGCAATTGCCGCTGGTGCGCCCTATCAATCGCCGTTACTGCCCCTGAAAATCCAACCCGGACCGACGGCAGTGACGCTGCCTTGCCCTTTTCTGTAATTGCCGTCGGTGCCTCTGCCTCTGGCTAGACTGGTTCGCGCCCGCACTATTTGTCGGGCAGAGCGTGTACATTCTCTAGCAGAGCGTGAGGCCGGATACGCAGTCTACCCGGCGGCAAAACAATAACGCGGTATTGCTGCCACGCGCATGCCAGTAGACGATCGATAAATAGTGCACCCTGTGTATGCGCGTGGTAGAACACGCAATGCTGCAGCGCCCGGACTCGGCCCGCGTGCGATTTAAAGCGCGGCGGGACGACGCTCGCGCAAGAATGGCCGAGTGATCTGGTACGGTGTGTAGCTTGCTAAGTGCAGTAAGATTTAGAGAAATTTTAGTAGAATTCATACGATGACACAAAGTTTCCCATAACTAATGGCCTTGGTGCCCTTCTCAATTGTGAGAGTTGCCTTGAATGCATTTTAAAATTGCCTCGTGCCCATCCATTTTAGAGAAAATTCAAGGCAATTTCTCACATGCCCCCAAAAAATTGCGCTTGCCCGCTCTCGTCGCTTAATTCGAGGGCCTGGTACACCTGCTAGGTGTTTATTAGCTCTTGATATTAATAATAACAGGATTCCTGATCCTGATATTGATAGACTCCTGATAATATAATTATAACAGTAATGTCTTTTTTAGCTCATCTGACATAGTCAGATGCAGCTTGTAGAATCGCATGATGCGTCCCGTGCCGTGCGTCCGTCCGTCGTGCGTCGTGCGTCGTCCGTCACAGTTGGGCACAAATCTTTAACCGCTCGACGTACCGGTCACGATATTCGGAGACGTGGGGGGGTAATCCGAAAACGAGTTGGGATGTCGAAGCTGGGGGTCAAAGGTCAAAGGTCAAGAGGTGTAAAATAAGGGGAACATTCACTCCTTAACTTAAGGTATAGGGAGGAAATTTAGAATTGGCGGCACAATCTAAACGGCTCGACCTAGGCTTTGTGATAGTCGGTGTATAGCATCATGGTAGGAAAAGCCATCACTGTGCCGAAATTGGAGGTCACTACCCAAAGGTCAATGGGCACAGGAGCAGATTTTAGGACATTTTCTGAGGACATGGTCTGATGGAGAATTGAAAAACTTTTTGTGTTTGCAGCGTGACCTACCATTTTGATGGCTTTATTGAAAGGACATGAATGCTGCTTTCCGACTGACGGCGAGGAGTAAGTGTCTGATAACCTTTTGACCCTCAAGAGGAGGGATTTAAACATGGATTTGTTAACTGTTACTGTGTTAGAAAAGAATTTGACTGCTGGGTTTGCTAGTAGAATCTATACATGCCTGGATGTATGAAGGCCACAATGTCACAGTGAAATTTCAAAAGCTAAATTTGCTTGAAGAAGGTTTTATGCTTCCTTAAATTCGTATAATTTCTATGGCATTCTGTACTGTCAGTGTGTTAATATGCAACTGCCAGTGGCCACTGCCAGTGCAGTGGTGGTGATAGTATGGTGTAGTTTTTGCCTGCGTTAATTAGGTAGGCAGGTGGCAGCGTCTTATTGCAGCGCCTAGTAGGAGGGTTAAACATTGATTTGTTTCTCACTGCGTTGGCGAGTACCTGTGTTGTGGAACGCTCCCGATTTTACAGTGAAATTCCACACATAACTCTTACTTGAACAATGCATACTTAGGAAGTAAATGAGATGAGTTATAAGTTGAGATTCTGTAGTGTACATTATGATAGTTGGAATAGTCACTAGGCACTCAAAATAATTACCCACGGAGTGAGGCTGTGGATTTCCCGATTAATTTTCTCATCAATTCTTGGCAACCAATATAGACGCAAATGTGTAGCGTTCTTGCAAGCTTATTCGTCTCACTAATCACTCGGCTACCCTTGTTTTGTTTTTGTTTTAATAGGGTTAGGGTCAGTCAATGCACCATAAAACATCGTTTTCAAGGCACGGCGTTTCGTATCAACACCATGGATTTTGGAGTTATGCAGAATGCAGAAGGTTGCGAAATGATGTGTACGCAATCTGCGTATCTGCATATCTGCGCTAACAAAGGTGTCACTACGCACAAACATTCAAATGTTACGTTTATAACCGTAGCAACAGACCTCAGATGAGCCCAGACGCTCTGCGGCTCTTGTTTTGTATTATAGTTAAATCTTTAGTATATTTGTAGTTATAGCTTTTAAGTTAACTAATTTGATTAATTTTAACTTGTTTTTACTTCTAGATTATTTAAGTTATTGATTCATTTAAATTTTAATAATAATATATTTGGAAAATATGTTGAGAATAATGCACCTTATTTATTGTGACTTATGTGTAACTCAGACCAGGCCAGGACTACGTAATGTATGACGGTGTACGGTTAAACCACTTTGTTATTATCGGAAATTTCAATTGTCCGTTCAACAGGTGGTTGATTCTATTATTGTATGTGTATGTCATTACGATGGATTTAACCAACTGGCTAATAATCTGATATTTGGTCTGAGCTTTACACAATTAGATCATGCATGGGTTTTTGCTTTCAGGATATCAAGAAGGAATGACCTCAACGAAACCTTTATTAGATTCATCAAGTCAGACGAGATGAAGGTTTGTGCTGAAAGTTATAGTATATATTACGAAATACAGAGGGCAGCACGTTACAGCCTTCTATGCATTCTATGGTCAGCATATGTTTCAATAGCTCAGAGTATGATCGTGATGTCACGCCCGAACTCGGCTATCTCCAAAGGTGAATGCATAGAGCCCAGAGACAATAGAGTACTAATAGTTCTGTATAGGAATGTTCTGAATATATAATATATTCTGATAGTAATCTGTTCTAGGGTCTCTGCATTCACCTTTGGAGATTGCCGAGTTCGTGCGTGACATCACGATAATACTCTGAGCTATCGAAACGTATGCCGACCGCATTCTATATGGCAATGTGTCAAACGTATTCATGTTTCATGCTATGCAGCCCTGTCACTTCTGTACTGATTTATATTCCAACATCACAGCAATAGAATAATGTAATCGTGATAGGTCATCTATGTTGTGTGCACTGTTGTTGGCAATAGCACGTACGGCCTAATGTAAATACTAATATCAATATAATACCTATCAATATAATATCAATAATATCAATATAATACGTAAAACACATGCATATATATATATATACACACCAAAATAATATAATATATAAATGTGAAACATTTAAAAATGTGGCAATTTAAAAGTTACTCCCACGTGGCGTTTCAAACATTACGGCTACCGCGATGATCATATGTGCATGATCGCCACGTTTTATGCTCAGGAGTATCTGCGCAAGATTGCAGAGGGCACTATTGTCTCGAAGCGGCACAAGAACTTCTGCGGCCCCAGCGCCAGGCTGAAGAACGGACTGAAACATTGCACAGGCCTCGGTCCATTCACCGACAGCGATCAGGTTTGTAGTCGTCGACCCATGACTCCGCTGTTGGCGTGCAGTGAATGAGAGAGAGCAAGACTAGGGGGTGAAACGGAGTCTGACTCTTGGCTCGATAGCGATAACGGTATTTATAGAGATGGGAGAAACCATTACAGGTTTCCGCTATAAAAGGGTGGAAACTCACTCTAAAACCTTTATATAATGGCCACTCGTGGGAAATGTCATGATTGTCCTTTATAGACAGGCAATGCTACAATAGAGGTGGGTTTACTATATAATAGCCACTCGTGGGAAACGCCATAATTGTCCTTTATAGACAGGTATCTGATTTGTAGCAATGTCCGCTAACACACTTCTGATGATATGTGTGGAATGAAGTTAACTTGTGCAGTGGTAGATATAATGAACTTTGTTTTAATGGTTATTTCTGTTTGTTGACTGTGTGTCACTGACTGTAGAACAGGGTCAACTTGTGCCTCGGTTGTCACTATGTAAAAGACATTGAAGTGACGTGACGTAATTTTTGTGTGATTTCTTTGGTAGTAGTGCTTGTGGCTAGTGTGTCATTTAAAAAAAGGTCAGCCTCGTGAACTAGTAGTTATTAAAAAAAGAATTGTTGTATTTTTAGCTCATCTGACATAGTCAGATGCAGCTTGTAGAATCGCTTGATCGTCCGTCCGTGCGTCCGTCCGTGCGTCCGTGCGTCCGTGCGTCAACAGTTGGGCACAAATCTTAACCGCTCGACGTACGGTCACGATATTCGGGTCGTTGGGGGGGATCGTCAAAACGAGTTGGGATGTTGAA